ACTTTAAATTATCCTGTCTACCTTTTGCCCCTGGGCTATTCCCATTCTCTTACTTGATTAAATCTTGCTCTTACTTCAAGGCTGGCTATGTAGCTAAATGGCTGTTTTTGCATCCTCCTCCTTCTCTGGCTACTGGATCTCTCTTTTCCCAATTTTTTCCTTCTATATATTCTCTCTGCCTGCCAGTTCCATCTAACCTTTCTCCTACTTTGCTATTGGCTGTTCAGTTCTTTTTTAGACCATCAGGTGTTTTAGACAGGCAAAATATCACAGAATCACAGAGTTAAACAGATGTAACATAAGTAACACATCTTAAAATAATATTCTACAACACAGACTTCTTCCATGTATGCCATTATGAAGGAACCCTGATAAATGGCTGGCAATTTTCGGGAGGGAGAGTGTTTGAAACAGTCAAGGGTTTGGAGTGGCTGAGTCAGAGAAAACAAAGACCCAGAGATAAGACTTAAAGTCTATTATCAACAAAACTACAAATCAGTGATTACTGATGGGCTCAATGTTTGTGAAGTTTTTCATGTAAACATGCTTAGTTTGGGAACATTGATGAACTATTTAAGCTACTTAATAATTAATTTTGTGATTTCGGATAATTAAGGATAGATAATGCTTTTATTTTCTCTGTATTATTTTTCATAGTATATATTTGTCCTACCCCCTTCTAGGTAAATATATATGTATATACATGCATATATATGTATATATATACACACATGTATGTATGTATTTATATATGTACATATATGTATAATACACACACACAAACACACGTGTGTGTTTGTGTGTGTGTATGTGTTGGTGTAGAAGTTTTAGTTTTCTTTTCTAACCAATAGATTAATTAATTTCATTCCAACCCAATCACAGCTCCCCCATGCTCTCACAGTCGCTCCTCCCAAGTGACTCCCTCATCCATTCCACTTCCTCTCTCACCAGAAAAATGCAGTCATTCCATGTGCATCAGCCAGCCATAGCACACCAAAATGCAACAAAACCACACACCTCTCCATCATCAAGGCTGGACTAGGAAACCCAATATGAGGAAAGGGTCCAAAAAGTAGGATACAGTAGCATAGACAACAACAAAGAAATATATTTTTATTGCCTGATAAAATTGCTATCAATGTCAATAAGATATAAGTGTTGCTTCCTTTTTAAATATTGCTATTCATGTATATTCTGTATATAGTGATGGGATTCATAGGCATTTGCAGACTATTTCATACCATATATGTTGACCATCTACTCCTCCTTTCCTCTACTCTTTCCACTATTCCCATCATTCCTCCAGGAAGCATGTGTCTAGTTTCATGCTGTACTTGTCAGGATTTTCTATAGGAACAGAACTGACAGATGAATATATA